TTTCTTTGATTTGATTGGTCAATTCAAAATTAACCAAAATGGTTAATTATCCCTCGGTTAATTAACGCCCATCCCTAATTACTCATATTACTTTATCAGCATGTGATAATTGACCAATTGGGGTTCGAGGAGGCATAGGCGTACTTAGGACGTTATATCAGTGGTTAATATTTATCGAACGACGCGACGTTGAAATACTTCAAACATTATATGCATCAGAAAATATAAGTTTAATATTTACTGGATGGCTTATTATGTCAATCTATCCTTGCCAATATTTTTACATTTTTAGTTTTTCTGACCCATGACTACTACGCCTGGCAACAGCCGGTAGTTGACCCATAGAAGTGTGAAGGCAAGACCTCCCTTTGCAACCCTATTACTCTGTGCTCTGGCAACAGCCAGCAGTTGTGATAGAAGTACAAGTAGAGCGTGCTCATGTCTGGCAACAGCCGATGACTGCTCTTTCTTGTAAAAGTGACCATTATGACTGCGCCTGGCAACAGCCGGCAGTTTTGATGGGCTTTTTTTATATCTACGTACTTGGAATTATATTTCAGTTATCATATTAACTTCAAACACATTTTATTGAATTGGCATAGAGAAATATATCAAAACAACATCCTGAATGAGATTGAATGCAAAGATAACAAGCGAATGAAATGTATGATGCTATCAAAGAGGGAGGGAGTACACAGATTCTAGGCCATTTAATGCGAGTCCCAGCATCAAATTATTTCTTTGCTTTCTCAGATTTCTTATAAATTTCTATACTAATTGTTTTTTTCCTATCACTATTGCTAACACAAAGATTCTCAGCCCCATCTATACTAGATTTTTGAAATAAATATTCCCACAAATATCTACGTATATCGACATCACTCCCACCCACACAGAAGATATAAAATAATATTCCCCGAAAGAAAACCTCTTCTAGATTAAGTAATTTCGAACCTACAGCATAAATTCGGGGGATTAGCAACTGAAATAAAAAATAATCAATGCAATATACTTGCCTCTACAATTCATTTCATAACGTTCCACTCCGCCTTACATTTAAGAAATCTGTTGCTTATTATGTTATATTGATTTTTTTTGTCGCACAGTTGTAAATCAGATGATACAACAATTTTACTACGCTGATGAGACACGTGGATTCGACTAGATTAGATAATATTTTCGAGTTATTTCACTGTGTCTATTGTACGCGTGATGGTGGTCAGTGATTTTCTCGGCAAATATCAAAATGCCGATATATAACAAGAAGAATAATATGTCCGTTTTATTTTAGAACATCTAGAGGTGGGGAAATCGATTAGCACTGTGATGACATTTTTCAAGAAGCTAGCCGAGCAATAAACTAACTTACTTTATTATTACTTTGCGAAATATATTCGTTTGATTGATTGTTAATATTGATTGATGTTAGTAGTGGTAAGTTTGAATATTTCTTTTATTTTTTTTTTTACTTTACTTGCACAAGGCGGATAAAGGATTCACTAAATAAGGCCTCACCTTTTTATATGATTTGTAGTCTTAAGGATCAATTTTGGAATTAATCTTTGACGTTAATATGACCGCATTACGAAAATCTGATCAACGTGCACTCCTTAAATTTACAATAGAAAATCTTTGACGCAAAGATCAACAAAGGGTTTTTTTTATTATTAGTACATGTAAAAAATACGGAAATTTTGAGAATAAATGCTTTATAGCTGAAATGTACTCTTTACTTTATTAAAAATAGTGC